TCAGTTTTTATTAATGGTGGGAGGATGTAGACTTTTTCTTTTTCCCGGTTGTTTATCGAATCATATCTCGTAATTTGTTGGAGGAGGTATTTGTTGATACCTTGGATACATATTCTATCCAGCTGTATCTTTTGTCAATTTTAATTGATCGCCGAGTCTTTACCGGCCAAATTTGAAAATCACTGTAGTTTGAAGCAGTGGGCAAATCATAGCGTCTTAGAGAAGCTGCCCGATAACTGCATGTTTTAAAAGATTCTTCTGATAAAAGGAACATCGTAGGTTTTGGAGCGGATTTTGGAATCGTCTTTTGGGCAATAAAAGTGAATGTTTCAGTAAACGTTTAGCTTGGGTCGTCGAGGTTAGTAAAGTTATTTGTGGTAAGCTTCTCGTTGCACATGTGTTGGAATTGGACCCAATCTGCTTTGTTCACATTCCATCGATGTAGAGGATCATCAAGAGGAGTTCCAATATTCTTAAGAAAAATGGGAAAGTAGTCACTCCCACATAGATCGTTATTTACCTTCAAGTCTTAATCAAGTAGAATGGAAGGATAGCATAATGACAGATCAATGTGGGTACGAGAGCCTGTAGCAGGGTGTAAATAAGTAGAAGTATTGTTAAAAAGGCACAAGTTGTTTCTATCTTTAAATTCCTCAATACATGTTCCTTTCTTGTCTGTGTTTGGAGATCCCCACATGCTATTATGACCATTAAAATCACCGATGATTATGAACGGTGTTGGGAGGATCATCACGAGGAGTTCCAATATTCTGAAGAAAAATGGGAAAGTGGTCACTCCCACATAGATCGTTATTTACCTTCAAGTCTTAATCAAGTAGAATGGAAGGATGGCATAATGACAGATCAATGTGGGTACGAGAGCCTGTAGCAGGGTGTAAATAAGTAGGAGTATTGTTAAAAAGGCACAAGTTGTTTTTATCTATAAATTCCTCAATACGTCTTCCTTTCTTGTCTGTGTTCGGAGATCCGCACAGGTTATTATGACCATTAAAATCACCGATGATTATGAATGGTGTTGGAAGTTGGGAGACGATGTTATTGAGTTTCTCACAGGTGAAAACAATACTCGGAAGAAGATAATTGAACAAACGGTTATTTGTCTGTGGAATGCTGCACAGACAACAACAGCTTGTAAATTTGTGTTTAACTTTATCTTTCGGCGAGGAATATTCTTACGGACAGCTACAGCTGCATCACCTGCTGCTCTGCTATCTTCAGTTAAAATGTTACTGTAGAGTGTGAAATTCCTAAAGGTGATCGGGTTTTAAGCATAATTTCTTGTAGACAAAACATGGCGGGGTTAAACTCTTTTGATAGATGCTGAAATTCTTCTATACATTTGTATTTGCCTTTAATCCGCGGATGTTCCATTGGATAATTATATTGTTCATTTCGTTCTATTTAGACTGGATTTCGATGGAGTTGAAGCGCGAATTTTGGGGTATTCGTCTCCATCTCGTCATCGAGATCCAGTAGGACATTACATATGTTTGTCGTGTCCTCCGATCTTTTGCCATAGGTGACATTCAGATCGGACCCAGCAGATTTGCCCCAGGGTATTCTAAGTTCTTTCTTTGGTCTATTGTCTGGTGATGTAGTCTCTGACCTCTGTTGGGATCGAGATACCGAGGAAAGTGAGCGAGATCGCTGCACACGCATATGTGCCCTACATGGGCCAAGTTTTTGAGGGGTTTTTTTTATGAGGAAGGTGTTTTTGAATAGCTTGGGAGCCATGAGAAAGGATTCACGTTAGGGTATAGTCGGACTTGCTATTTATTGTATTTTCAAATTAAATTGTTCAGATGCAGTAGTTTGTACAAATGTACAATAATGCAGATGTATTCAGTGACCTTAAATTTGGAAATTGTATTTCATATATATTTTTGAAAGGCCCAAAACAATCTTATGTTTTGAAAAGAATTTGTTTATATTTCCTTTTACAAGGACAAATTCACTATTTTCAAATCATAAATATTATCAAATTTTAATTCGAGTTCGTTAGGCTGGCACAACTGTAAACACGCTACAAACACAAGTACAATAGTAAGATGCAGGGAAGGACCTTAAATTTTAATCAAGATGATTACTTTTCAGTTTTAAAATCATTGTTGAAATAAAATGGATTATTTATAAACCGCAAAAACATTTATAGCCAATTATGGGTTTTTTTGATATTGTAAACTGGCTTGATCAGATTAAAGTTTTCGACTTATGATTTCAGACACCAGAGGACTGCCAACATACAAAAAAACAGAGGTCAACGGAAAGAGATATTTACGATTGGATGATGCCTTGGTGTTGGAACGCCAGTCAAAAGTGCAAAAAACACTATACAGTGTTCTGTTTGATGTTGCACACCTGGGACGCAATAGGTGTAAATGTAAAATACAGGTTTTGCTGTCGTTAGCTGTTTGTTTCTTTCTCGTCAGGTTTCTAAGAGCTTAAATTTACAGCACTTAAAGCGACTTACCTCCATTCAATCTTAAACAATGTAGATACATGTTTGGTCTATATGTTTTATGTGTTGTGTGTTACTCTTTGTGCCATAATAATGTTATATCATGCAACATACTTCAACCTCATAACTTGTAAAGCAAGTTGGTTATAACTATAATTTGATTTCTAGCATATGACATTGTCACAGTTTATCTAGCAATCCTGTCAATTTGTATCCTTTGTTACTTTAGCATGTATGTATATGTAATGTTTTATAAGAATTATGTATTTTAGTCATGTGTGATAAGTTAACTTCTTATATAATATATCTGTTATTACTGTTATGTTGCTTTGTTTTTATATCCTGTTACTTGTCGTTGAAGCTTCCTTCTTTGACGCATATCTGCCAATGAGTTATTTTGTTATTTTGAATGTCCTGAGCGGTATTTTGAATGTCCTGAGCGGTATTTATTCGTAAATGTAATGTATAGTTGCTGTACAGTTTGTTAATTTTGATATTTATGAAATAATATATACAAGTTTAATAAATATCATTCTTTCAAAAAGCCATTATATAATTATCGGAATACTATTTTTGTATCTAATGTTTGTCACAAGAATGCCACTTCAGTGCTTATGCTGTTTGAATTACATAGAGGATAAAAAAATGCAAAACCACGGAACAGATTTTTATGAAAGTGTTAAATCGCTGATTTACAAATCCAGTAAAACATTATGCGAGTAAGGTAAACCATCGATTACACATAAACAATTAATACTTATATTATCGGTCATATATGGCGCACTTATCTCCGCTCAAAGTTACTTCTTCAAACAATATGAATCCCGGGTGCTCATATGTTCTAAGTATATAAATCATCGGAAGAGGTCCTTCTGTTAGCTTGAACATAACGACAATTGTTTTACCTAAATTGCAGGTACAATCGATGAAACAGAGGAGGCCTACCCTTCACGAACGCATGGTCTTATCTCCTTGCTTTAAGCATAACTGTAATTCACTCCTTTCATTATGTTTTGAACCAGGATTCACTGACATTAGACGCTACCGAAATAGATTATTTTAAATGTTACCATACTGGTAAATTCTGTCCATAGTTAAATATTTGATGTACAGAATTATTAGATCTTTTTATTTTATTTGTTTGAAAATGCTACTTTTACATTTGGTTTTCTTGTTTGGTTTTTGTTTTATTACCAAGAAAGAGGAGCAAATAAGGTAGTTTTCACGGGAGTTGTAAAACTGAAGCATTTTACAAATATTTATGTATACTAGAACAGCCAAACGAACAACGAATCACTTTCATAAATACCCTTTCATAGCCGGATGACATTTGGATATTGGTTAACGGTTGATTTGTATAATGGGATAAAAACAAGTGTCAACAAAGTCTTAATTTGAACTCAAAATCGATCTCAACCAGGTCAATATAGTCACGAGAAGTACGACGAAATGAAAAGTATATTTTAAATGTTGTTTGTGGATGCAGCAGGCCAAACAAAGGAAACGTTTATTTACCATTTCGTTGATTATGAACACTGGTCATTAGTGTTCCGAAACCTTAGTAGAATAACGTAACAAATTTACCTATTTTGAATACCTTGAATAGTTTACACTTAAGTACATTTGTATTCCATGCAAAGCCTGCCAGAATGTATCCAAACTACTTTGCAACACAATCCTCGAAATGAAAATTAAAGAAAACCTATCACAAGCACAACGAACGTCTTCTGCTTCATCGATGACAGGTGCCATGTAAATCTAGGTCAAATTCGAGTAATGTAACGACCTCAAGGCAAGAACCGGGGTATGTTATTCATCAACCTGAATATATGGAAACCATGTATTGTAAGTTTGTCCGTCAGCAGTCGACATCTATCTGAGAATATTGAATTGCGACTTATAAATATCGTAGGTTTGGGGAAAAGTATGTTAGGACAAACAAAGGGAAACCTTACGATTGAAAACTCGAAATCATCACGCATGCCATTCAGCTTGTACGGATGTTGTCCGTGTTGCTTGTCTTGTAAAGAAAGATCGAGGTGACGGCTAACGTAGAAGATTCTATAATGTCTTTGATGACATGTTCAGGAGGAAATACCTGATCGATATTTACGGTACATGTTTGAAAGATGAAACTATTTTGAAAATATGGATTATGCTTAATCTCGCTCACTGATTCGTTTTCTTTAAAAAAGCTTAGGGAAAAAAATCATATTTTTCAAAAGCAAGTCCAAACGCATTTTCATGGTTTCTGAGCTTATTCTCGTAGTTGGAATGAGAGAAAAATACTCTTTCATGCTCAAAGGTGTAGGATAGGGAAATTCCATCCTCGGCAAAGCCTCGGGTTTTACCAAATTTGAAAACCCCTCGGATGGATTTTCCCTATCCTACTATCCCGGACATGAAAGAGTCTAATAGGATTGGTATAAAGGACAGCACATCGTCAATATAGCTGAAAGTGAAATTAATGACTTGTCCAGCTTTGTGTTACCAGTCCTGATAAACTCTGCCTTAATACCATATGTTTAATGTTTAATGAAGAACACCGAAACAATTCAAAGTAATTATGAAACTACACTGCAAGTTTACATGCAACTTACTTTAGCACAGCAGTTAAATTTTGATTTACTTTTGTAATAATTTTTTGCTTTTTAGATCGAGTTACATATTTTAGATAGTTGTTTCTATTTCTTTCTTTGCTTTGTAATACAGTTATTAAAATTTCAATTAAAAGGCAATAATGATGTGTTTTAATTCATACGTATATACGTCGAATATTTGGCAGATATACACTTATATTCGCCATTTGCCCCTAGCAACTGTACACTGATACAAATAATGTGTTTTGTATGTCGTAGTGATGTACTAATCCAATACAACTATCACAGTTTGTGTTGATACAGATACACCTTTATGGCAGTATATTTTAACAGTGCTGTTACGTTTTAGCGTCCGTGTACTGCTTGTCTGGCTCGGAGAAAACAGTCCAAATTACAAACCTTACAGTCCTTGTTTTTAGGGATACCAATGACCATAGATTTGGCTTTTCCCTTTTGTATTGTCTGCAGAAAAAATACCTGCCCCGGGAACAATAGCATGAGAGTTTTTATAGGCACGTCTTCTGTGTAGAACAACTCCACGGTGATGTTCTTTGTCACCTTTATGAAACTTTGGTGACCGCTACCAACACGAACAAGGAACGGATTGTGTTCCTGGTCGACCAACAACAAACGTTCACTGCAGAACTGGTCTGTGGCACTTCCTTTGACCGTCAATACAAACTGAACCTTGTGGTTAACGTAATGACAGTAAAAGTCAGCGAAGTACATGTTCATGTTCTGGTGAAGGAAAGCCTTTGACGGGACATGTAACCTGACCGGGCCGTAGTAGGAGAAGTCTGGAAGCCGCCCCGTGTTTGGGTCGATCTGAGAACTGAAGAAAAGACCCTTGATATTCTGGTTAAGTGTCGACGCCTGATCGCCGCCCCAGTTCTTGTCGTATTTGTGCATCACACCCATGCGGTTCCACATTATGTCATGAAAGTATTCAGGAGACTTATTACGGTAAAAATGGGGAATTACATCAAAAGCACGAGGTCGTCTTGAAAGGTATCTAACTGCTTTGAAATACAGCTCCATTATTTCGTTTTGAGTCATGCCTGGAAATAAATCAGAAAACAGAAAGGCTTGGTAACAGATGAACGTCAACTCTGCTTTAACCTTAGATAACCGGGGTTTTATTGTATATTTTTGCAACGGTATTCAACCTGGTATCAATTTATCAACTGAAGTGTTTGGTTTAAATATTTGTCAAAAACAAGAAAAATCCTGTGCTGAATTATTTTCATCAGACATTAACGTATGGTTAGTCGAGTTTCCGAACTTTCATGTTTAATACCGCGTATGACCACCGTTTAACACAGAACCCAACCTTGCATCGAAGTTGCACTGAACTTGTTTACCGACCAACAATAAGTTGAGAGGTCCCATTCATCGGTCAACGCTTGTCACAATTTTCTAAAGATTCACCAAAACATTTTTTTCCAAATGCGCTACATGGGCGACATTGTGGTTGGTTTTAAAATACAGTAAAACACTATCACAATACAATATAGCAACATCACAATACAATAAAGCAATATCACAATACAATAAAGCAATATCACAATACAGTATAACAATAACACAATACAATAAAGCAATATCACAATACAATAAAGCAATATCACAATACAGTATAACAATAACACAATACAGTATAACACTATCACAATACAGTATAACACTATCACAATACAATAAAGCAATATCACAATACAGTATAACAATAACACAATACAATATAGCAATATCACAATAAAGTATAACACTATCACAATACAGTACATTTTTTTATAACAATAGCACAATACAGTATAACAATATCACAATACAGTATAACAATATCACAATACAGTATAACAATAACATAATACAGTATAACAATAACACAATACAGTATAACAATAACACAATACAGTATAACAATATCACAATACAGTATAACAATAACACAATACAGTATAACAACATCACAATACAGTAAAACAATAGCACAATACAGTATAACAATATCACAATACAGTATAACAATATCACAATAAAGTATAACAATAACACAATACAGTATAACAATATCATAATACAGTATAACAATAACACAATACAGTATAACAATATCACAATACAGTATAACAATATCATAATACAGTATGACAATAACACAATACAGTATAACAATATCATAATACAGTATAACAATATCACAATACAGTATAACAATATCACAATACAGTATAACAATATCATAATACAGTATGACAATAACACAATACAGTATAACAATAACACAATACAGTATAACAATAACACAATACAGTATAACAATAACATAATTCAGTATAACTCTATCACGATACAGTACATTTGTATAACAATAGCACAATACACGATAACAAACGAGAACACTATCACAATAAACGAGAACAAAATCACAATACACGATAACAATATCAAAATACACGATAACAATATCACAATACACGATAACTATATCACAATACACAATAACAATATCAAGATACAGTATAACAATATCACAATACAGTATAACCCTATCACAATACAGTATAACACTATCACAATAAACGAGAACACTATCACAATAAACGAGAACACTATCACAATAAACGAGAACACTATCACAATACAGTATAACAATCTCACAATAAACGAGAACAAGTAATGTATTAGATAATACTATTAAAATATAAGATACCAATAACCAATATAATATACCAATATCGTTTCATCGGAGAAAAAGTACCAAATTGCTTGTTTTAAAAATCGATGTTATAATTCCACTTTTTCTTTTTTTTTCTAATTGGCTGTGAACAAAAAGCTGAATTAAATATTACGAAAATATATCACAATAAACAATATTAACTTACACGAACGGAACTGGTACATCTTTGAATGTGAATATCCTAGAAATGCATCAACTGGGATGATTTTCACGTTGAACACGACCACGCTGTACACTGTAGCTGGCAGAATACTGAATGGGAAGGTTAAGTTTGACGTGCTGGTGTACAGAATGACGTAAGTCAAGGACGGATAACTCTGGTGAATGATGATGATGAAGGCGTCGTTCTTAGGGTTAAGGTGCTCTAAATTTGACATCATGTACTTTTCTGGTCCTATACATTCGACATCAAAACAATATGAAATCTGAAAAGAAAACAAAGATGTGTTAAGTGAGCCAAAGATGAATTTATTATCATTTCATGTCAACGTAAGATTCTCAACGTCAACTCAGTTGCCCTAGTCCAAATTACCACTTAAACGTTAGATTTCCTATGGCCACGTCAACGTCACTTTCCCTGTTACCATGTCAACAATAGTTTCCCTATTGTATCAAACTCCCTGTTATCATAACAACGTTATATTTCCTGTTACTATGTAAACGTAATAACGTCGTCAGATTTCTTTGACCATGTCAATCACAGATCCCCTGTTGTCAACGTCAGATTCTTTGTTACAGATTCCCTGTTACTATGTCAACGTTAGATTCCCTGTAATCACGTCAACGTCAGATTCCCTGTCACCACTTCAACGTAAGATTCCTTGTAGCCACGTCAACGTCAGATTCCCTGTTACCACGTCAACGTCAGATTCTCTGTTACAGACTTCCTGTTAACACGTAAACGTTAGATTACTTGAAACCACGTCAATGTCTGAGTCTCTGTTACCGATTCCATGTTACCACGCCAACGTCAGATTCTGTTACAGATTCCCTGTTACCACGTCAATGTAAGATTCCCTGTTATCACGTCAACGTCAGATTATCTGTTACAAATTCCCTGTACCAAGTCAACGTCATATTCTCTGTTACAAATTCTATGTCACAACGTCAACGTCAGATTCTCTGTTACAGATTCCCTATTATCACGTCAACGTCAGACTCCCTGTAACTACGTCAACGTCAGACTCTCTGTTACTACGTCAACGTCAGATTCCCTGTTACCACGTCAACGTCAGATTCCCTGTTACCACGTCAACGTCAGATTCCCTGTTACCACGTCAATGCCAGATTCTCTATTAACACGTCAACGTATGATTCTCTGTTACAGACTCCCTGTTACTACGTCAACGTCAGATTCCATGCTACCACGTTGATGTCAGGTACCCTGTAACAACGTCAACGTTAGATTCCCTGTTACCATGTCAACGTCAGACTCCCTGTTATCACGTTAACGTCAGATTCCCTGTAACCACGTCAATGTCAGAGTCGCTGAAGCCGTGTCAGATTATATGTAACCACGTCAGATTCCTGGTTACCCACGTCAACGTCAGATTTTCTGTTACCACGTCAACATCAGATTCCCTTTTATCATGTCAACATATCAGATTCAAATTTACCACGTCAACGTCAGATTCCCTGTAACACGTTAATGTCATATTCTCCATTACAGATTCCTTGTTACCACGTCAACGTCAAATTCCCTGTTGCAACGTCAATGTCAGATTCCCTGTAACCACATCAACGTCAGATTCCCTGTTACCAAGTCAACGTCAGATTCCCTCTTACCACGTCAATGTAAGATTTCCTGTTACCACGTCAGCAGCAGATTCTCTGTTACAAATTCCCTGTTACATGTACCACGTCAACATCAGATTCCCTGTAACCACGTCAATGTCAGATTCCCTGTAACCATGTCAATGTCAGATTCTCTGTTACCACGTCATATCATATTCCCTGTTACTACGTCAACATATCAGATTCCCTGTGACCACGTCAACGTCAGATTCTTTGCTACAGATTCCCTGTTATCATTTCAACGTCAGATTTTCTGTTTTCACGTCAATGTCAGATTCCCTGTTACCATGTCAGTGTCAGATTCTCTGTTACCACGTCAACGTTAGATTCCAAGTTATCACGTCAATGTCAGATTCCCTGTTACCACGTCAACGTCAGATTCTCTGCTACAGATTCCCTGTTACCACGTCAACGTCAGATTCCCTGTTACCACGTCAACGTCAGATTCCCTGTTACCACGTCAACGTCACATTCCCTGTAACCACGTCAACATCAGCTTCCCTGTTACCACACAGCATCAGATTCCATGTTACCACGTCAACGTCAGATTCCTTGTAACCACATCAATGTCAGATTCTTTGGTACAGATTTCCTGTAACCACGTCAATATCTGATTCCCTTTTACCACGTCAACGTCAGATTTCCTATAACCACGTCAACGACAAGTTCCCTCTTGTCATGTTTTAGATTTCATGTTACTTTGTCAAAATCAAATGATTGATATGTATTACAGAACCATTAACCTCCAATAAGGACTCAGACATACATCAGGCTAAACAGAGATTGGCTCAAATATATATCAGTATTATCAGTAGCAATGAATACAGGAAGTAATTTATATACAGGTATTGGAAAGTTCAATTCAGATTAACGTACAACAAACGCCATAAAACTGAAAGAAAATGCATCACAGTAAAATACATAATACGATATCATATTACAATCTTATTTATTCGAATGCATCGACTTACCTCTGCCGCGTCCTTGATGTGCAGATCCAGGTACGGATCACACTGATTTAGCGTAAGTTTCAAGGAAAGTTCGGTACCTAAAAATGTAAGAAATATATCGCTATGTCAGTACATATAACACGGAACTAGACTGTAATGTCAGGTGATGTTATCGATAGTTCTATCATTTCAAATTCTGGATAACATATGGTTCAAATATCACGATTTTTACAATTTATGTTTAAGGACACCGAAAGCAGTGCGTGTCCTCCATGCTTACCTTAAGGAAAAGAATCTTCACCTTGTCTCCGAAACCGAACTGTTGGATTCAACCCTGGCTAAATTTTACACGGAGGCTCGTTAAAGTAAATGTTAACTATACAAAATATTATTGTTGGGGCATATAATAAAACAGTTATGGGCTTTTGTGCTGGTAAATATGATGGGATATGAACCTGAACGCCTCGGTCAATATCACTTTTTCAGGTTCATATCACATCATATTCACCAGCACAGAAGTCCATAATTGTATATAAGTATGTGCTTGACAATTTCTCGCAATCACATTGGCTGGATTCTATACACGTGACCAGTCCTCAAAAACTCATGTAGACTTGTTATCCGGTGAATATTGATTTCAAAATATAGCCTATATGGAAATTTCCCGGAACTTGTCGTACCGCATGCGCAGTTAGAACGGAACGCGATATGTCAGACGACAACAGAGTAAGGCCGCTGCTTCGTCTCCGTTACATCACAAATTTCCCTAAAACTACTTGCAGATAAAGATGTTTTTTTAAAAACAAAAGGCCACCGAACACGCGGTGTGTGTCCTCCATGCTTAGCTTCAGGAAAAGAACCTTGACGATGTCTTCGATTGCTACGATGCCGAACTGATTGATTCAACCCTGGCTAAATTTTACACGAAGGCTTGTGCCGATAAAGGTTAACTATACATTTTTTATCGTTGAAGCATATTATAAAACAGTTATGGGCTTTGCCTCGGTTAATATCGCTTTTTCAGGTTCATATCACATCATATTCACCAGCACAAAAGTCCATAATTGTATAATAAGGCATACACTTTTGCATACACTATTAACCATATAACTGTAATATAACTAACATATCGACCCTTTGTTTACAACTATACCACTTAAACATTGAACTATTAACTGTCATAGCACTGGAATATTGACCCTATACACATTGTAACTGTCATAACACTGGAATATTGACCCTACACAGTGTAACTGTTATAGCACTGGAATATTGACCCTACACATTGTAACTGTCATAACACTTAAACATTGGTCGTATAACTGTCAATCCATTAAAGCATTAACCATATAACTGTCAAAACACTAAAACTAAACATTGATCTAATAACTGGTATACCACTGGAATATTGACCCTATATTTACAACTATACCACTTAAACATTGAGTATAGTAACTCATTGAGTTATAGAGCCTATAATTATTATAACACAGAAACATTCGTTCTCAAATAATCATTATAATGAAAATATTACTGTATAACTATCATAATATTTAGACATTGTTCCTATACGAATCTTAACACTTAAAAATGTTTCACTGTAGTTGTAAAACCACTTTAAATATTGCCCCTTTATAACATATCTGTCATAACATTTACCTGTGGTAGCGGCTACAGCAGCTTTGCCTCCTCCCCTGACCGTGTACGAATGTTTGTTGTTTTCTAGTACATAAACCACTACTGTTATGCGTGATGGACGAGCAGGCAAGTATGGACACTTGTAATGGATATGCTGGCCTTCGTGCACTCTATTTATGAATATTTGAAATATAACATGGGTGTCGTTACGGGCTACCTGTATAAGAAAACTACTTGTGTCCGTCAATAAATCAGGTGCAGATGTGAGGTCTATTTTCAAACACGCAGATTCTGTCTTACCCTCTGCTTTTGACTGTATTTTGCCTACTGGTTTTGACTGTATTTGGCCCTCTCGTGATAAATGTATTTGGCCTTCTGGTGTTGACTGTATTTGGCCCTCTGGTGATGAATGTATTTGGCCCTCTGGTTTTGACTGTATTTTGCCTACTGGTTTTGATTGTATTTGGCCCTCTGGTGATGAATGAATTTGGCCTTCTGGTGTTGACTGTAATTGGCCCTCTGGTGTTGAATGTATTTGGCCCTCTGGTGTTGACTGTATTTGACTCTCTGGTGTTGACTGTAATTGGCCCTCTGGTGTTGACTGTATTTGGTCCTCTGGTATTGACTGTATTTGGTTCTCTGGTATTGACTGTATTTTGCCCTCTGGTTTTGACTGTATTTGGCCCTCTGCTTTTGACAGTATTTTGCCTACTGGTTTTGACTGTATTTTGCCTACTGGTTTTGACTGTATTTGGACCTCTGGTGATGAATGAATTTGGCCCTCTGGTTTTGACTGTATTTTGCCTACTGGTTTTGACTGTATTTGGCCCTCTGGTTTTGACTGTATTTTGCCTACTGATTTTGACTGTATTTGGCCCTCTGGTGATGAATGTATTTTGCCTTCTGGTGTTAACTGTATTTGGCCCTCTGGTGATGAATGTATTTGGCCCTCTGGTTTTGACTGTATTTTGCCTACTGGTTTTGACTGTATTTGGCCCTCTGGTGATGAATGTATTTGGCCTTCTGGTGTTGACTGTAATGGGCCCTCTGGTGCTGACTGTATTTGGCCCTCTGGTGTTGACTGTATTTGGCCCTCTGGTGTTGACTGTATTTGGTCCTCTGGTATTGACTGTTTTTGGCCCTCTGGCTTTGACTCTGTTTGAGTCTCTTGTTTTGACCCTCCGTTGCCCAATGGCTTTGACTTAATTCGACCCTGTGATGCTAACTCTTTTTTGTTCCCTGTTTTTGACTCTGTGTTGCCCTCTGGCTTTGACTCTGTGTTGGTTTCTTGTTTTGACTTAAGTCTGCCCTCTGACTTTGACTTAAGTCTGCCCTCTGACTTTGACCTAAGTCTGCCCTCTGACTTTGACTTAATTCTGCCCTCTTGCTTTGACTTAAGTCTGCCCTCTGACTTTGACTTAAGTCTGCCCTCTTGCTTTGACTTAAGTCTGCCCTCTTGCTTTGACACTGTCCGGGTCCCTTGTTTAGACTCTGCGTTGCCCTCTGACTTCGAATTCATATGGCCGTCTAATTTTGACTCTTTTTGACCCTCCAATGTCACCGAGAACTTCATCTACAGGGAAACAGTAGTATTAAGATGGTGATCTCTATGGAAAGGAATTGTCACATTTTAATATACTTATTTTGTCCTGTATTCGTTAAGATGCCTAAGCAATATTCATGCCGTCAAAACTCGTAAAGCACTTTTTTAAGCGATAATCATTCAAAAAGAATCCCTACATTTTAATAACAAGAGTATTGGTAAGAAAGAAGTTAACCAGCTACCCAGTAATATAGAGTGCTCAGTATCCTATACAGTGATCAGGGAATACACCTTTACTGTAGAGGCTACCTGGGTTCACTGGATAGAAATTGCTGAGTTGGGGTCACTAAGGTGTAACAAAATCCTGCAATACAGGTAAGTTCTACCTGTGTATGCGGCCATTTCAACCCTGGACCTGGAAGGTTCACTGATGTCAGAGGCTGTGTGCCAGGGGGAAATGAATATTACATACAATTACATGCCTTTCATTTTGGATTAAAATGCATTATACAAGGAAAAAATAAGAACAGTATGACATTCTGCAAGCCGATCAAGGAACGATGAACTCACTCGGATTTGTGCCAATTTGTTTTCATAAACAAATTTTCTATTGGAATTTATAGAATCATAATGCATCGTGGTAAACGACGTTGGCATTTCGAAAATGAAGATAACAATACTGGTACCATTATTCGAAGTAGGGTGACTTCAAAGTATACACGACTGTTTATACTCAGGAACGTCCACTAACATCCGTATTACTTACCAAAACAGTAACGTCACAAGTGAGTCAACCTCCTTCTGTGTTAACAACCTAAACAGTAATGGCACAGGTAGGTAACCCCTTTTGTGTGTTAACAACCAGAACAGTAACATCACAGGTAGATCAACCTCCTTCTGTGTTAACAACCTAAACAGTAATGGCACAGGTAGATCAACCTCCTTCTGTGTTAACAACCTAAACAGTAATGTCACAAGGAGATCAACCTCCTTCTGTGTTAACAACCTTAACAGTAATGTCACAGGTAGGTAACCCCCTTCTGTGTTAACAACCTAAACAGTAATGTCACAAGGAGATCAACCTCCTTCTGTGTTAACAACCAAAACAGTAATATCACAGGTAGGTAACGCTTTTCGGTATTACCAACCAAAACAGTAATATCACAAGTAGATCAACCCCCTTCTGTGGTAACAACCAAAACAGTCATATCACAGGTAGGTAACCCCCCTTTGTGTCACCAACCAAAACAGTAATGTAACAGGTAGGTAACCCCCCTTTTGTGTTAACAACCAAAACAGTAATGTCACAGTTAGGTTACCCTCTTTCTGTGTAACCAACTAAAACAGTAATATTCACAAGTAGATCAACACCCTTCTGTGGTAACAACCAAAACAGAGTTAAGTACCAATATCAGCACCAACCTTTAGTTTCAGTATGCAGCCTGCACTGGTCAGCTTATCATGTTATTTTTCTGAGATTCCTTCATCTCGCACAATCTAGGCTGACGATTAAAACATACTCGGTGTACCTGTAGTTTCTTACATTAGGTAGCACAGAATAGCGCGTCATGTTAACATTGTTCTATAACAATGGCCTATCTACAGATTGGTGGTATTATTCACGGTGTCATTACATATATGAGGCCTTCTTAAATTACCAGTCAAGTTGACTCTGACTGTGCAAATTACACAATACACACACGAAGTGGGTGTCTAAAGTGAACCGAAGTCAAGATATTGGGATCGACAAAATGTTTGTACACTTTTAAAAATGAAGTTTGGTTGTAAAAACGCATATGTTACTTTTTCTACCGTGCAGTCTTATATTCTACAATGCGAATCAGGTAATATTGACCTCTGACCTTAGGAACTTTTGTACATTTTCATAGGAGGACAACGGGGACCACGCCAAGGACATGGATCTGTCTCAAAACAGGTCCTTGAGAGAGAGGCCAAAGTCCTCATCCATTTGTTTTATTCTAACGGTATGTGATATGCTGCCAGTGGTTTGCATTTGTTTGTGCTGTATACTTACTGTATGCTGGTGTGCTCAGACATGTGCTATATGTACTCGTGTGCTTCACACGTGCTTACAAGTGTGCAAATGTGCCTACTATGTGCTAATAAGCTTGCCATGTGATGGTTTTGTTTTACGTGCTGTATGCAAATGTGCTTAATGTGCTATTGTGCTTACATTACCATGTGCTGATGTGTTTACCGTGTGCAATGTGCCTATTAGTACATGTTTATTTTTTTATTTTATTTTTCATGTTGTAATGTTTTTGTCTCTGTTATTATACTCATGGTTTTGTCGAAATACAAGCTGTTGTATGTTGTGCAAATTCGACGTAAAATAAATATTCTTATATCTGGTATCTCGTTGACGATAGCCGCTGTGACATCCTAACCGCATCTGAGGAGCAGTCCGACCTTGGCGCGTGTCCTGGACGGGCCTAGGACACTTTGAATCTTAAGCGGGTATGGTAAGCGGCGACTTACCCCTCGTGTCGGCCGAAACACAGACTACCGTCAGTGAAATGAAGACGTAAAACCCCTAACCAACCAATTTACGAATTATTTCTGTATGGATAACTTCACAAATGGGGTTGTGTTGCTCCCCGATAACATTGTTATTAGATTTGTATTAGATTGAACAAGTTTTCCGCTGTGATGGTTCTAATACACACGGAATAGTATACCAATGGATTCAGTAGTCATGTACACATAGAGTATTTAATAGATTGTATAAATAGACAGCTTACGGATTGTAAACACCGATATTTTTACTGGGTTATTAAACAAATCTTGTATTACTTCTTAACATATGCTGCTATGTTAATGTCTACCGTCTGAATTAAAAATATGATTTAAACCAAAACAAGCTGCCGTTTTCATTCACTTCAATTTACATAAAATAATTCACAAAATACAATTGGTTTTGATAAGACTACTGGCATAATAAAATATACAATAATTTAATTTGTTTCCATTCTTTTCTGTAATAATCCCCAATATGGTGAAATATGCCTCGCAGCCAACGTTTATATATACTACTTACATTTTGCTAAGGATCACTTTTATTTTTTGGCATATGTGAAAATAAATCTGTTATTTAGTTTAAGCTTTCTTTTATTCAAGTATTTCAATTAAATATATATATATAAAACATGTTGTAACAAAACACATGGTACAAAATAGGAAATAGAAACAGGTGTCTTAGACACTTGTGTAAATCTATCCCCTTATTATAAACTGACAAATATATTCAGGATGGACAGCATATTGTTATCAATGAAAATACATACAATACAACAATCAGTGACAATAGTTTAAACAAGGAGAAAGAAAGGGAGATAATTAATGGTGAAGGATTTTGGTTGTTAAAGGGTTTTACATATGTACTTGTTCTTACATACGTACACTTCGGCTTTAGGCACATACATGTTTATGAAAAATTAAATCATACGGAAAACCTGTTTGTTTTTTATATATAATCTTGGACAGCTAGGAAGATAACCTTATCTGCTTGTAGTGACAATGTCTCGTTCCCAAACAGTAAAATATCTGTGGTAATATTATAAGGCAACGAATATAAATACTGTCTTCTTATGTCGTCATATCTGGTACATTTTAAAAGAAATTGACCAGTGTTTTCAACCATAGCGGAGATTGAACAATATTCTTACTAAATAAATGGCTGTTTAAGGAACTGCATTCCATTCGTAGACGAGCATGGTATAGTTGACACTTACGGGTTCCAAAAGTGTAGCGGATTGGTACTTTTCTACTTAACTGTTTATCAAGGTATGATTTTTTAGCAGAAACAGACGGATTTGATCTAACATCAGATGGTAGTTTATTCCATTGATCTATAGTAGAGGGTATAAACGATTGTTTATAAAAAGCAGTTTTGCACAATATTGGAGTGACACATGTATGGTCTGAGTTCCTTGTATCATAACTATGTATCTCCGAAACTGTGTGAGGAACAACATTATACAAATATTGGAGTGACACATGTATGGTCTGAGTTCCTTGTATCATATCTATGTATCTCCGAAACTGTGTGAGGAACAACATTATACAAATATTGGAGTGACACATGCATGGTCTGAGATCCTTGTATCATATCTATGTCTCTCCGAAACTGTGCGAGGAACAACATTATATAAATATTGGAGTGACCCATGTATGGTCTGAGTTCCTTGTATCATATCTATGTCTCTCCGAAACTGTGCGAGGAACAACATTATATAAATATTGGAGTGACCCATGTATGGTCTGAGTTCCTTGTATCATATCTATGTCTCTCCGAACCTGTGTGAGGAACAACATTATACAAATATTGGAGTGACACATGTATGGTCCGAGTTCCTTGTATCATATCTTTGTATCTCCGAAACTGTGTGAGGAACAACGTTAACATTATACAAATATTGGAGTGACCCATGTATGGTCTGAGTTCCTTGTATCATATCTATGTCTCTCCGAAACTGTGTGAGGAACAACATTATACAAATATTGGAGTGACACATGTATGGTCCGAGTTCCTTGTATCATATCTATGTACATTTATCTCCGAAACTGTGTGAGGAACAACATTATACAAATATTGGAGTGACACATGTATGGTCTGAGTTCCTTGTGTCATATCTATGTCTCTCCGAAACTGTGTGAGGAACAACATTATACAAATATTGGAGTGACCCATGTATGGTCTGAGTTACTTGTATCATATCTATGTATCTCCGAAACTGTGTGAGGAACAACATTAAACAAATATTGGAGTGACCCATGTATGGTCCGAGTTCCTTGTATCATATCTATGTATCTCCGAAACTGTTTGAGGAACGACGTTAACATTATACAAATATTGGAGTGACCCATGTATGGTCCGAGTTCCTTGTATCATATCTTTGTATCTCCGAAACTGTGTGAGGAACAACGTTAACATTATACAAATATTGGAGTGACCCATGTATGGTCCGAGTTCCTTGTATCATATCTATGTACATTTATCTCCGAAACTGTGTGAGTAACAACATTATACAAATATTGGAGTGACCCATGTATGGTCCGAGTTCCTTGTATCATATCTTTGTATCTCCGAAACTGTGTGAGGAACAACGTTAACATTATACAAATATTGGAGTGACCCATGTATGGTCTGAGTTCCTTGTATCATATCTATGTATCTCCGAACCTGTGTGAGGAACAACATTATACAAATATTGGAGTGACACATGTATGGACTGAGTTCCTTGTATCATATCTATGTCTCTCCGAAACTGTGTGAGTAACAACATTATACAAATATTGGAGTGACACATGCATGGTCTGAGATCCTTGTATCATATCTATGTCTCTCCGAAACTGTGTGAGTAACAACATTATACAAATATTGGAGTGACACATGTATGGACTGAGTTCCTTGTATCATATCTATGTCTCTCCGAAACTGTGTGAGGAACAACATTATACAAATATTGGTAAATGTAAAACATTTTATGAAATTGAAGAATTTATCGATTTTGTCTACGATCAAATAATCTCGTCCATCTTGCTTCATTGAACGATTTGTCAATACTTGTTAGTTTTGTTGCGCCAGTTACTATCCGAGCAACTCAACATTGAGGTTTTCAAGGTTTTTTTCCAGTTCTTTCGTAATATTTCCCCATACTATATCGCCATATTCAAGTGGTCTTATAAAGGAGAAATATATAGTTTGCAAAGTTTGTCTATCTATTTGGAATTTCAAAGATCTCATTATATTGATTTTAAACGAGGCTTTGGCAATGATATAATTAACTTGTTCTAGCTAACGACCCTCTCCAGAGTAGTACACACCAAGGTGCTTGTGAGAGGATACATTATTTATTGGGAAAGTTGTTCATATGAAGATTGGGTGGTAAATGGGATTTCTTTTCCTGCTTATAAACACAGTTTCAGTTTTTCGGGGAATGAATTCTAAAAGCCACTATCGGGACCACACATGAATTTTATTAATATCTGATTCTAAAGAAGCATGTGCCGTGACGGGATTGTCTACTACTATGTACAGGGACGTATCATCGGCAAATAGCTTAATTGTGGAATTGATTTCATAAACAATGTCATTAATATACACAAGAAATAAAAGAGGACCGAGGATCGAGCCCTGAGGTACCCAAGCCATGACAGATGCCCAGTCCGACTTACAATTATTTAAAATCACCCTTTGTTTCCTGTTATTGAGATAATCTTTGAACCATTTTAGTAAACTACCATATATGCCAAATTTGGAAAGTTTGAAGAGAGACCTCGATGCCAGACTCGGTTGAAGGCTTTGCTTTTATTTGGTTTATACTGAGATTAATTTTAAAAAATTGATTGTTCTTTTAATTCATCAGCATGCAAAGATCCCAAAAATTGTAATAACAGTCGGAAAATGAGGCATAGGAAAAGGTCTACCCGTAAAATTGGTAACAAAGAGGTATTCACTAAAAAACTTCAATTGAACAAAACTCATCCTAAATAAACAGATTTT